GAGCCCGATGTGGGACTCGATCCCAGGACCCTGGGATCATGACCTGAGCCGAAGGCAGTCGCCCAACCAACTGAGCCACCCAGGCGCCCTCTATTGTTTTAAACTACGCATCGTACCAGCTAATACCTGAATTTGTCACCATCCAGTTCTGAAACACTCACCCAGAATAGCTACCACAATGTCATCTTTGAGGATTTCAATGGATCCTCTGGATAAGAAATAAAGTGCAGTGAGGACATCCCCACAGTGAACCAGGGTGTCTCCTGGAGGTGCATGGGTCGTCTTGAACTTCATTGCCAAAGCTCTAAGGCAACCTTTACTTGCCCCCCGAAAGGCTTTGCAGTTTTGCAGCAAAGTCTGGTTGAGATGTAGACAAATGTCAGCTTGTAAACATTCAGGGAAACCCTTTAGGACCTGAGGAAAAAAAATAAAGAGTTTCATACTACCAGTGCACAGGGTCCCTCCACCTGAGAAATAAAGTCTATTTCTTGCTCACAGAACTGCGGGTGTAGTTATTGTCACACGAGTTCTTACAATTTTTCTACCGCGCCTACCTCAATGAATACTTGGTTTGCGAAATGTGTCAGAATTTTAACTCAAATGCTTGTTCTCTGAATTAACTGCAGGCATTCAGACTCAGCACAAATGCTGTCTCATTAAAATGTAATGCCTATGTTTCACACTGCTTTTCATTCCCTGCATTATGTGAGGTAGCATCATACTGTGCACATATAGAATGCAAATGTGACAATTAGTAAGACATAACTAATGAAAGGTGGTACAGCTAGAAAGACAACCTTTTGAAGGAATCTCAAGTCAATTTGGAGTGCTGTCTCTGGTATACTTCTTAATTGGAATTAGTAAAAATAATGATCGTGAAATAGCCATGGTATTTGTAAATGTCATAGACCAGAGGGTGCTCTTCGCGAACGGTACGTGGAATATTTATGTTTCATATGCACACTATTAATACTAAATATTTGGATAAGCACTGAAAATAGAGAAAGGGAAGGAGAACAGCAAACATAATTAAAAAGTATAGCTATGTTTTCAGAAATGGAGATTGTGCCAAAGTTTACAATGCAAACTTAAACTTCTAATAGCACTACTGTTTTGACAACCTATTCAGCGACTGATTTAAATCTGATAGAAGAGATTAAATAATAGCTTGTGACAAGTGCCACTCAATTTAAACTGAATACAATTCTATATTATTTTATAAAATTCCCAGTATACAATGGGCCAAAGACACTCAACTCCTGCTTCTCTGTGTGTGTCTTAGTTTCTTTGGGTGTCATATGTAGATTTTAATTCTCATGTTGACTTTCCTCTGTCAGTAAAAATAAATCCATTTAAATGTGCTTTGAAGTAGAGGGGAGGGGCATTACATAGTGTTTAATAATGTAATTTTAGGATTTCCTAAATTTTGGGTCAACCTTGCTGTTGCTATTCAATACAGCTAAAAGTCATCATGAATTTTTTGTCCAGATAATTGAAATGTACATGGTTCATGGAGGAACTTCAAATTAGACCACATTTGAGTTAACTTACACTTATGTCTATTTGAAATGTTAAAGCAGCCAAGGCGTACTGCTTCTGTAGGACCCCTGTGTGATGCAGCCGGTCAGATGGGCGTGGTATCATACAAACGGATCAATGAGAGACTGAAAACATGACAGCCACCACCTCCAAGCTTGTTTCCTTCATTGCAGAGTCACCCACAGAAATGGGTCAAGGGCGTTTTAGAAGAAAACCCACAGAATACGGGTTCTGGTCGTGAATTTGCCACAGGTTGACACTTGCGCAAGTCACTTCATCTATCTGTGTTTCTTTGCCAGAGAATAAGAGCTTTTTTGATTTTAAAATTTGTTGTAAGTTACCAGTAAATAGCACGCCAATTTCTAGACACCACTTACCCAGCTCCACACAGCTGTAGGAACTCAGACATCTATCCTGAAGTTTCTATATTACCTGGCTCAGACCCAAAAGAAATGAGCCTTCCTCTTCTTCTGAAACTTCTGTCTTTAACTCTATCTTTCAGACTTTGTCTACGTGACTGGACTCCTACCAGATTTCCTGCTTGGACTGAAGGTCTTGCCAAAAGGATAACTTGCCTAGTCTTTGCCCATTTCTGCTTTTGAGGGCTAGGGGCTCTTTCCCCACTCTGTCAGTCGTAAACAACTCAGCTCCTCCCATAGAGCCAGCCCTCTGGTAGGTCGCTGACCCTTTCTACTGGTCTAAACTATCACATGGGATTCTTTGGCAAGTGATGCTAGGCTGGAGTTAAGCAAGGTTTGCACACTGTTTTCTGAAATGGGGTCACTTTATTTGGGGGTGCTATAGTAGGAAAAACCCCAGTTTACTGGTCTTCCTGCATATGATTTACTTTTCCTCCCTGAAGCCCACTGCTGTGTGGTCTCAGCATAATTCTCAGATGTCCCCATACAGATAAAAATGTAGAGAGCATCACACCAAGTAACAAGTTAGACATGTCTATTTTTTTCTTAAGATTTGGCTATAAAAATATACAAAAAGGCATTTTATATTTCACATAAATGGGGAAATTGCACTTTCCCTATAATAATTGGAATGAGATTATTGAGCTTGTAGCTGCTATTTCTGGCATTTTCCTGAAGTTCCTCTGTTATACTTTCTGAGTATAGCCTGCTTATTAAAGGAAAAATTGTGCATGTGAGTGTGTGCATGCATGTGCACAAGGGTGTGTATGCATGTTTTGAATTGGAAGGTACAGATGAGATAGAGGTAGGGGTTACTCATTTCTCTGAGTATGTTAGATGAGCTATGGAATCAGATAGGCATGAACTGAAGTTCTAGTTCTGACACTTACTAGTTGTGACTTTGGTTAATTCAATTAAATTTTCTTGAGATTCAGTTTCTTCAATTGTAAAAATAATTAATAATATCTACTTCACAGGGCTGTGCCCACAATTAAATGTGATAATGTATGTAAATTATCCCATTCATTGTAGCTGTTACATAGTTTACTTCTGACTTTTTCTTTTCTTTACTTTGTCATACATATTTATTGTTCCTGAAGAACTGGTAAGTTCTCTTTAGCTAGAAATTGAGAGATACAACACCCATTGTATTCTCCTTGATCTCTTTGGTGAATAGAAAATTCACCACTAACTTTTGTGTTCCATTGCCTCAACAGAGTTTAAGATAAATTTTGTTTCCTGTTTCTGACTTGTGTTAAATGTTTTGACTTACTTGCACTTAAGTTTTCACTGTGAGTTGTCTTAAATTCTTTTTGAAATAGGCAGTTACTGATATAAACATGTTCTTGGAATGCCAATATTCTTAGAATCGTTTACAAAACCATAAAGGGTACTAGGGAAAGTTTTTCAACATTATTCTCTTCTCAAATGTCCTTAAGTGTCATCTCCCAGCATTTATCCTATCAGATGTGACATCCATTGGAAAGAATGGCCTCAAGTTGGAGATACCACAGAGTTTCATGGAGAAGCCTTGCTGGCCCAGGGAGAAGGTACACACATGTTGGCTTGAAGGACTTATCTGGATTAAAGACTTATCCTGTGGTGTTAGCCCTTCACTAACTTTCTTAATTTTCTTAAGTGAGTTACATAGATCACTCAAGTAAAAGTCAATAGAAGTTAACATTTAGTAAGTGAATCTCTTACTAGCCCAGAAGTTTAAATGTCCTACGTAAGTTAGCAGCTTTGGAATCTGGGGTATGCCTAAGTAAAGGGACTTTAAAAGCAGAGTTAAAAGAGAGGGATTATAGAGAAATAGACTAGAAGAACATGGAAAAGAGTGAGGAGAATGGGGTAAGTTGAAGTAGTATTCATCCAAGACACCCATTTCCGTTGGTCTCAGCTGTGTTGCCTTCCTTACTTCCTACTCATTGTACTTTTTTTCATCAGGTTTGGTTCCTCTGCTAAACTACCTGACGTGGAACTTCCTCATTTAACAGTCAAATATTAGCATTTTACCAGGCCTGGCAGATCTGGTTGTGAAGAGTAAGTGTGTCAAGTACACAGGTACAAACCAAGACACAACTGGTTTACTGATTGTTGTAATTATTTCCACTACTCTCTGCACAGCCTTCTTGTCTGTCAAGTTCTGAAGCTCTGAGGGTACACAGCACCTTTCACTGTGTGTCTGAAGTCATTATTTATTGGATTGATTTGATTTCAAAGACCCAGGAGCATCACCCAGAATCGGGGTCATGGCCTGCAGCTTGGAGAAGTAGCTCTCATTCTTTTAGCAAATACATAGTAAATATCTACTCTATACCAAGCACTATACTTGGCATGGAAGCATAACAATGAAAAAAATATGTTCTGAACATATACCTGGCCCTTAAGCCTTTCTCTAAATGCCCAGTTTAAAATATATATATATATTTAATCAGGTAAAATAAATATAAATATATATATTTAATCAGAATTTTCCACACCTTGTTTTGCATGGACATTAATAGTACACATTTGGACACTTATAATCCTAATGGCTGTTCAAATGAACCCTCAATATACAGTTAATTAAAGGTGAATGAAAAGCTCATTTTAACTTTTCTAATATTTTCAGTTATGGGGGATTTTTAAAACTTCCTGATGTTCCACAAAATTTTTTCAAGGCTGGTAAAAATCCCATGTCTTTATTATGGTATAAGGTCACTTGAATATTTTATAAATGTAAGGTTAATTTTCCTTTACTTGACTCTATGTGAATAAAACTCTTTGGGACCCTCAACTTATGTAAGACAAATGAGATATTTAGTCTTTTAAGTGAGTTTGAAATGCTTTCTGTGATTGCTAAAAGCAATCAACCCCATAGCTTAGTACCAAAGGATCCAAAGTTTAAGGACATTCAAACAAGAATAACCTAACAAGTACACAAGATAGCATTATTAAATCAAAACTCCTTGAAGAAATCATACAAAGAGAGAAAAAAGTTGAAATAATTAACTATCCCATAGTAAGCACCTATCAGACATGATCAGATACTAATTCAGAAGTATTTAACTTTATACTAAACTTCCCTCAAATGTGTATCTACTGGCACACACGTAGAGGAATAAATACTACAATATTGTTAATATATGCAATTATGCAGAGTGTGAATTCAAATTTTCTTCATACTGAGCAAGGAATACAAAATTTAAAAAAGAATGGAGGCTGAGGTTAATGCAAGCCTGCAATTTCTGATTTGATATGAGTGTGCTCATCAAAATGACATTTGTGTCATTTACTTTTTAATAAGTAGATCCTTAAATTAAACTTATATACTTATGCCAACAAAAAAATAATGGTACCTATTTTATGTATTGGGGTTTCAGTGAAAGCCCATGACAGATTACAATTAGAGAAATGTGTCCTGAGCTTCAGTCAGTGGAGTCTGAGAAGAATTTTAATGAATATTAATTAAGA